AGGTCACAGTAAGTTTCCTTCTAAGGAAGTATCCTGGCCAAAAAAATGAAGAGGGAATGAGACTTAGAACCACCATTCTGCAACACTGAAAAAATAAATGAATCTATATATCGTCCATCAATGGCCACCAATATCACAAAATAGGCATTAGGTGTCTTTTCATGGGAGGACAAACCACCTATGAAGTGATCTTGCCAAAAACAATGAACCTCATCAAGTCTATAGATCCAATTAGCAATTTAGAAGAGGAAATGCAGAGGCAAGAACGTGTTTGTCTGCGTCACAGAGGCAAACAGCAAAACCTAGACTCTGGGACACTACAGAACAACCGACTTGGTTTTCTCAAAAAACAGCAAGAAAAAAGGGACAGAGGCAGAACCTATACATTAAAAGACAACTGGCACAGAAACCAATTATAATGGAAGTTATTTGGATCTTGATTCAAACAAAACAGCTGCAAAGAAGTGTGACATGTACTGGGCCAACAGAAATCTGAGTACTGACTGGACATTAACTATAAGGAATTATTGTTAACTTAGGTATAATAATATTGTGGTTCTGTTGGCTTTATACATAGTGATGTTTACAGAGAAACGAGGTCGAATTTTTTTCAACTATTGAGGGGAAAAAAATGTAGATGGAATAAGATTGGCTGAGTAAATTATGGAAGCCAGATGACAGGGACATGAGATTATACTGTATTTTCTATACTAAAATGTTTAAAAATAAGAACAATGTACCATTTCTTGTGCCTCATTTTTCTTCTCTTAAACTGTCAAAATATAGTGCCCACTTGCAAGCCACGTTTTCCCTTTGGCTAACGCAGTATTTCTTTGGTCATAACTTATATGATGACCATAATTACGATAACCACAGTAACTAAAATATCACATGTATATTCACTATTCCATGAAGCAACATTAAGAAGGTGAAACATTAAATTTAACACCTTAACCCCAGCGTAATTTTCTTTTCAAATTGAAGGTCTGTGTATTTATTAAAACAATTAGGCTTAGGGCATCGAAAGGACTTATGATGGAAATGGATTATAAAACAGTAAGAATCTGAGTCCACAGGCTACTGAGAGATGGGGGACACCTAGCTCTACAAAACTGTGTCAGCCAATACATGTAGAAGAAATAGAATATCAGAAATTTTCAGCCCTCCTCTGTCCCAAGGGACCATGTTATAAATGACCGGGGCAGATTCTTCATGAATGTTAAAACCTCCAGGTCAATGGAGACTGAGCAACAGGACATACACAAGGTCTCAAATGATTACCTCACAGAGTATTCACTAATTACAAAAGGAAACCGGTACTTTTACAATGGAGAGCTCTGGAGGCACCGCCCACCAACCAAGTGGCCACACTTACCACCACTAGACGGCCCGACATTGTGCGGCTCCTGCTGCGGTGCAGTAAGAAGCACTAATCACCTCTGTAGAGTTCTTGCCCAAAAAAATTTGACGTGAGTCTACTTGGAAGGAAATAAGACAATCTGTTGACAGTTGGTCAATCTACATGAAGGTTATATTGTGTGTTCTTTGTATTATACAGTCAGTTTTCCCTTGTTTGAAATTTTTCAGAATAAAAAGTTGGTGAAAATATAATTTGGGTTATGTTTTGAGATTTTTCTACGTAACACAGAAAACAAGAAAGGCGGTTTAACTCTTGAGTTAAAATCAGTCCATCTCCCAAAAAGTAAATAAGCCCGGTCAGAGTCAAAGCACAATTTCGCCTGGTCCTTCACAGGCCCAAAGCCGGATCCTCTGCGCAAGCTCTATTTCATCAGAGAGATGAACAAAATAGCCTTTTTCCTGCTCCTATTGGTCAAGACACTGAAAAGAAGGGGGAAAAAAGTACATCTGACACAGCACATCTACTGGCTCCAGAAATAAATTCAAGATCTGGAAGCAAACGAAATTTTCAAAACTTGATTTTTTAAAAGAGAAAAACATTTTAAAGTCTCTTATACTTTTTCAAATAGATTAAAAAAAAAAAAACCCTGCTGAAATTCTATTCAAAAACTTAACAATATATCCTCCTCCTCAGTATGATTGAGGGCTCTATAATAAAACAAACCAAAAGTACAATTAAGCATTTAGTATATATGAAGGAACTTGAACTTCAATTTTGAAATCATGAGCTAAGTCAGTCCAGTGAAATGTCACAGCATTTTGGTTTGCTTTATTGAAAGAACAAATCAAAATCTAGTTAATATATATACCTTAGCTCCCATGTACTTGGGGAAAAAACAAATCTAACCAATTGCAGATTCCAATGGATCGTACACTACATAGTCTTTTCGTATTTCAAAAGCCACCTACTTGCTCAGATCATCTTTTACAGTCTTGGATGTCTGCTTTCAAAGGCTTAACGCAGTGCAAGAGAGCATTGGGTCACACCTACGTGTACTCCTCAGCAATGGTAACACCCACTGCAAAGGCAAAATTAGTGAAAAATGGTAAGGCTAACAGCTCTAATTTTTACAGGGGGCAGGAGAGAAGAGGTGTATTTAGTGAACCATCCCATGTGTGCCAAATACTGTAGCTTTGGCCAAACCCCCAACACATCCAGACACACCCACAAATTTCTTTCTTTACTCATATGTATATTAAAAGCCTTAATGGAGAATTAGGTTGCATCCTTATTAGGTACGTTTCTATCTCTTAATTATTGTGTTTTATCATTTTAGGGTTAATAAAATGAATTTTCATCAGCCACCAACTTATGAAGTTCCTTTTGAATCCAAAGATCATTATTTCACAAGCAAAACAGACAAGGAAAATACAAATTCTTCCATAAAATCATAGTATCTGAAAGAAAAAATGCCCAATACAAGAGTTTGGCACCTATGTAACTCAAGAGAGATCTGCAGCTGACTCTTCTGAAGGAGCGTAAATAACTCAACTCCAAGCAAGCACTGCAGGAGATTGTAGTCATAAACATCAAACTTTTCAGCACTGAGGTAGAGCAAAATTAACTGATTTGCTAATATAAATGCAAAAGCAATTAAAGGAAAGAAAGCATAAGAACCAAAGTTTCTCAAAATAGCAGCAGACTCACAGACTCCAAGAAGAGACTAGTAGTTACCAAAGGGGAGGGGTGGGGAGGGAGAAGGGGATTGAGGGGTATTATGAGTGGCACACATGGTGTGCGGGGGGATCATGGGGAAGACAGTACAGCAGAGAAGGCAAATAAGTGACTCTGTGGCATCTTACTACACTGATGGACAGTGACTGCAGTGGGGTACAGGGGGGACTCAATAATATGGGTGAATGTAGTAACCACATTGTTTTTCTTGTGAAACCTTCGTAAGAGTGTATATCAATACTACCTTAATAAAAAAAAAAAAAAAGAAAGAACCAAAGGTTCTCAAACCTGGAGAGCTTTACAAAAGATATTTCCTGGGGTCTGTTTCTGAGAGTCAGATCCTAACACCAAAATTTCTTCCCAAGATTCTCATCTAATTTCATGTGCATCCAGGGATGAGAATCACTGTGAAAAATACAAAAAAGACAGAAAGGAGAAAGAGAGGAAGCAAAAAGACCTTCAGAAAGTAAGCACTAATCATAATCATCAATTTCTGTGTTTAAAGCATCACCCTTTCCACTTTAACCATGCTCATCAATTTCATAGTACCCTCTACTGGTAAGGAAGGGTATCTATTATTCCTCTAACTACAGGACAGAAGAAATCTCCAACTTTAATAGTTGAAAGAGAATCTACCTAGAAACTATTAGTGAACTTTCATTCTTTCTGTATTTTCTTATAATTTAAGTGTAAACTGGGTTGGCAAAGATGGTTTTATTCTCAAAAGTCAGGAACAATTTTTTAAAAAGGTGTCATTTGTTTTACCTCAAGGTTTGTTGACCTTCACACTACTGACATTGTGAATCAAAAGATTCTTGGTTGCATGGATGTAGCCAGTTTTACAATATGCAGTAGTAACTTTTAAGACATAGAAGGTTCGTGTTTCAATATAAATGAGTTTTTGGAAATATCATCCTCTAGTACTTTTAATCCATTACACAACCAGAAATCCTACTGTTCTGTCTGCTGTAGGGTGCTTAGCAGCATCCCTGGCCTCCACCCGTACATGTCAGTAGGAGGTTTCCCAGCCCACAAAGCTGTGACAACCAGAAATATCTCTAGACACTGTCCAATGTCCTCCTGCCCCTAGAGGGAAGGGGCAATACTGTCTTCACCTGCAAATCAGTGACTTATCCAATAAAGAAGCTCCTGAAAAACTGATAATCAAAATATATTTTTTCATTAGTGAAAGGTGACCCATTCACTACATCTAAAAATCTGTGATTTTGGTATGCCAGGTTCATAAAGAACACCTTACAGCAAAGAAAAACCATGGTGGAGATTTTCTTTTAAATAATTACAGATTTGTTCATGGGTACTGTTCATGGATACATAGTGTGGGTGTACATGAATGTTCTACTTTAAATTTAAGCATCTTGTGATACATAAATCTATGCAGTACAGTAGTTTAATCAACATCTGCAGGTTGTTTTATTTTTCACTTTAAAGTCAAGACCAAAATCAAAACCTCTGAACTTAACTTTTCAACCTGAAAGGATCCAAGAAGAGCCATTATTTCTAACTTAACATCAATAAAGCACATATTATTCTTACGAGTATTAATGGACTCTACAGAAACCTAAAATATAAATACCGTATTTTGTACTTAATTTGAAGTATTGCCACTGAAACCAATTATAAATGTTTACTCAGAGAGATGCTACTATGAAGGTTGCAAACTCAAATACTGACAATGACTATTCAAAATTTAATTTATGGTATACCAAGAAAACAGGCTGAACTGGAACCTGTGGATAGTTTTATAATATTCACTAGCAACAATGTTTTAAAGACCAGAAGGCTACTTTTTTCTATAAACTAGGAGTTTCAAAATCAGCTTTAGTGCTTTCAACTGTCACATGGCCATAAACCAAAGACTCAAATAATTTCAAATGATCACAGATACTATTTATGCAAAAATTCTCTTAAGTCAGTACTTTTAATGTTGTGCACATCAAATTATAGTAAAAATACAAGTATAAACAAGATGCAGCCCCCTAATTTCATGACCAGCATGCTGCATTACAGTAAACCGAGTTTATATTCCACCATCAAGTGTGGTTCTCCCATTAGTTCACTTTGTGATGGGTCTGAAAACAAACAGAAAGAAACATTAAAGATTCTTAAAAAAAGATAACGCCAACGTCCACTCACATGAAAAAGTACAACACACAAAACTGATCTAACCCAGACAGAAAACAGACCCCCCAGTTGCCTGGGGTGGGGGAGTGGCACATAGAGGGTGCTGACTGCAGTGACCAGGAAACAGGGTGATAAAACATTTACACCTTGCTTTGGGGGACAGTTACACAGCTGTACACATTTGTTAAAATTCACAGAACCATATGATTAAAATGGGTGCATTGTATTGTATGTCAATTATACTTCAACACAGATGATTTTAAAAGAAAACACAGATTGCAAAAGTTCTCCTTTTTCAGTGTTTATGTTTTTCAGTGGCTTCCCTGATGAGTATAGGAACAATCTCTAAGAGACTAAGCAATCTCTTAATCTAATTTGCAAAAATGTTTTATCTCTGTTGTTTGCTCTATTACACACACATATGCACAAACATAAGCTAGAATTCTAGAGCAAGAAAACCTGCTACAATTATTAATAAACTGCTATGTATGTAATAGGTATTCAACATCTAAACCTAAAAAAAATGTCTACACGTGAGCACAAAGAACAGGCAAAAATGTTTACTGCAGCAGTGTTTCCTGTTAATGAATAAAAAACAGAAAGCTCCATCAATAAGTGTATTCACGTATCACACATACTCTTAGTTACAGCACGATACCAACTGTGTTTTTTTTAAAAAAAGCACTAGGCAATGCCCAAATTTTCGACTATAAACACTTGTGTATGAAGACACAGAAAAGTCTGGAAGGGTACACACTGAAAACAGCAGGTAACTAGGGAATGAGGGAGAGAAATGGGCTTGGGGGTAATCATGCAGGGCCTGGGTTTCAGCTGCAATGTTTAAAATTTATAAACAAAGAATAAATTCATTTATATAATGACGACTTTCTTTTAAACCCTGTTTTTTTTAAGCTGTTGACTTCAGTAATGTACTCATTAAATAAACCGCTCACACCAGAGCACAGCACACCACGCAGGCAAGGGCCTGGCCTGGGGTTCTAGCGCCTGCTCTGCCGCCAGCCCGCTGTGAGACCGTGAGGGCGGACAGGGCCCCTCCGTCGGTTTGTCTGCTCATCTTAAGGTGAGGGACTGGAGGAAATGGAAGGCCACTAGTTTTGACTTTACTGTTACCCTCCTCGTATTCCCTTCCTTGGAAAATGTGCGGATTCTTCTTGGCCAAGCACTTCCCTGATGAGCACGCCTCACCACCTCCAACACTTGAACAAATGTAAATTGAAGAAACAGAGATTCTTGTCATGGTTCTTCGGTCCCCACAGAGCTCAGATGAACACCTCATGATAGCCTCAAACATTCCTTCTGAGTCAGAGGTGATGGGAATGTGCTGAGCAAGGGCTTTCAACACTTACTATGGATCAAGCACCTTTCCAGGAGCTGAGGACACAGAATTAACCAAAGTCCCCAGCTCTCATGAAGCTTATGTTTTGAGGAAGACATGTAAGAAATAAGAAAAACACCAGGTAAGTGTGATGGAAAGAAAGTGAGGTGACAGGGTCAGAGACCACTTGAGACTGAATGGTCAAGAAGTCCTCTCCAAAGGAGTGACATTTAAACTGGGAAAAATATTCTAGCAGAAGGAACAGCTAAGGCAAGGAGGCCCTTCGGTAAAGCCATAAACAGCCCATATACTACGCAGAGTTCCCACAAAGGGAAATACCCAGACACAGTGTGGTGGTCTCATACTGACAAAACCCAGGGCCTACCTCACCAGGGGATCTTTCCAGCTTATATCTACCTTAGATATACGAGGAATGAATATAAAAAGATTTCCACAAATAGCTAGCAATATTTTTAAATATGAAATGGTATCACATCACATCGCTGCTAAAAACCATTGCACAGCTCTCCACGGCCTTCGGCAAAAGCTCTGTTTCATGGTCAGCAAGGTTCTGGCTCCTCTGCACCGGCCTAGCTTCTCAGCCCAGCTTACTCCACTCGCCACTCACTGAACACTCCAGCTATACGGGCCCTCTTCACACACTCTCACTGTGTGTTGGGAGACAAGGTCTCTATGGGTCTCTCAAGATTCTGCAAGTCCTGGAAGCAGATGCACTGCCTGCCTATGTTCTGGACTCTCTTGCCAAGGCAGTTTCTACAGTGAACAGCCTCAGAAGACAGAGATCCTGCCGTGTCTCCCCTGGAGCATGAACAAGCAGGCTGACCACCATTATAAGATTCCGGTGCCCTGACCCTGGGGTTCCTCTTCCTGTAAGAAAACACACAGTATGTGCAGATGTCACCTGACACTCTTTTTGCTGCCTGTGGGAATGGGGGCTCAGAGAACCAACAGAAAAGCTGATACTCTGGCTACTGTAATTGCTGGGAGAAACAAACTGTCCTCAGTCTCTTGCAGCCTTGTCTTCTGCCAGCATCCACAAAACCATGGCAAGCTAACCTGTTAGCTCACAAGTAGGACAGGATTGTCCACCCTTCCGAGTTCTTCAGTTATCCTCAGGTTAGAGACCCTGAACAAACTGCTGCTTCTGGCTGAAGTATTCTCTACTTTTAGATCAACTAATTCATATATCCTTCAGGAATCAACGAAAGTGCCACATTCCCAGAGGTGCCTACATCTCCCACCCAACAACAAAGCATATCCTGTCCTTTTTATTCCTAGAACTTACCACAATTTGTAATTATATGTTTGTGTTTCATCTGTTTAATGTTTACCTCCCACACCAGAACACACAGATGTTTGTTTTATCCCTGTTGTATACAGCCTAGCCCAGTGCCCGACGTATAACTGACTGACTGAATACTCAGTAAGTCCCTCTCCCTTTCTTTACACAGAATTACAGTTTATTTTTAGATGAATGCCTTTTTTTATAACAAATTTAAAAGTAACTATGTATAGACATGACCTATTGCCTTATGAATTTTAAATGAGGTCTAAATTCAATGTAAAAGCCTAAGAATACCAGGTTTTCCGGCATTCAGAAAATTCCCTCAAAGAGGAGGCTCACCAGACTTCTGTTGTGTCCACAGCATTTCCTTACCAGGACACATCGACAGCCAAGCAAAACTAATACAATTTAATCCCGTTGGGTTTCTCTGCTTCTACTTAACTGCGGGGGCATAATGAACTGGGGCAATACTGGACAGAATTCTATTTGTTTATCTTCCTCAGAACCAGAAAAAACAGAGGATGCTGCATGTATTGTTCTTACTTAAAACTCATTTATCTCATACCTAATACAATTAATCAGGGAATTTTGTTAAAAATAACAGATTTTTCTTTCCTCCTCACCATTTATGGAAGCACAAGATTTACTTTTTTTGGGGGGGAGGGGCAATTTTTAAAGAAAACTTTCTCTTACTTTCTTCTTGTCATTTAAAAAACTAGTCATATCCCATAAACATTTTGAATACTCAATCAATCATTGTTTAAGCCACCCAGGAACGCTATATTATGCCACACTTTATCCTCAGGAGATGAATGGCTACCACTAATTGACTGAAATGACTACAACCTCAGAACTCCATAAATAATTTTCACTTTAAGAACCAGTTAAAGAGCTGTTACTGCCATTACATTTTCTTATTGCAGGGCATAAACACGAGGGGCCTCCGATCAGCCGTAAGCTCCGTGATGATGACATGCTGTCAGCTGTTTGCTGCTGCCTTGCGCATTACCGGGGCTCCATAAAGAGGTGCTGAGTGACACTTACCATTAAGAATATCTTCAAACCCGATTGTCTCATCATTACCCCTCAAAATATCCAGTGAAAGGTTTGAGCTTGGAAGAAATGGAAGACGTTGAACCTTCAGAAAAGCATGAAAGAGCAAAATTAGAAAAGCCAAAGAGAAAGAAATATATATGGAATGCAATTATATGTTCATTTTTTATTTGTAGAATTCACAAAAGTATCAATTTACCTACCAGGGAAAAAAAAGTACCAGGTCATATTTTAGACTCAAACCAAGTTTAAAAATAATTCCTCAAACTTTACTCAAAATATGTAAAGACACTGAAGTTGTAGCTTTTCTTAGCACTTAATAATCCCATCAGGTATGCACTTATTTTGGGGCATGGCTTCTGTCTAGGAAAACCCAGCAGATACTTTGTTATGAAATGCAAAATCCCCGAACCTGATAAATGTGGTCTACTTAATAAATGTGGGATGATCAAATTCCTGAAGAAATTCCAAGTCAGTGAAAGCATTATTCTACTTAATAAACTGGTTACATTTTGTATGCTGTTTGGTATTGCTCATAGTACAAGTTAAGTTATAACCCTTCAAAACAGTAGTGGTAACCAGAAATGAAGATCAAAGTCACTTGTGGGGCCTTTAAAAAGCAGTATCATTCTAAACTAGTATAATCTACTTTTTCCAAGTATTAAATACACATACTAAAGACTGGTACCTAAAATACAGTGGAGAAAGCATAGGCTGTGAAGGCAGAGATCTAGATCCAAATTCTGTTTTTCCTTCTTATCTTACGCAAATCCTATGGCTCTGCATAAGTCACCTGATACGTCTCACCCTCAGTTTCCTCACCTGTCAAACAGGATACCACCACCTTCCTCTCAAACTTACAGAACAGTGTAGTGTAAAATATGGATACAGTAGACAACCCAAACATTCAGTTTTCTGTTCTCTGTTCGTTGTCCAGAGACTATAACTAGAATCAATGGAGATAACTATCAAATTTTGAATATTTTCAAAATACCAAAAGTGGAGTATGTGGCCAGTGACTAAATGATTCTAGCAGCTTAAAGTAATCATCACAACTTTAGAATCTAAGGGGGGAAGTAGGATTTTTTTTCCCCTGCAAGAAAATGTACCCAGCCTAAAATTATTTTCAATTACTAATGGCCTGTGGAATTATTTAAATTTCTTTTACCATATGGAAAAAATTCTCTAGGTTCTTCAAAAGTGGAAGCAAAAACAAAAAACAAACAAAAAAAGGAAATGGGGAGGATAGAAGAATAAACAAGCGAGCCCTTACATTAAGCCAGACATTAAGGGGGGCTGGTAGTCACAGTTTGATCAGATACCGGACTGAGAAAACATCCAAAGCAGGAGGCAGCGGGCAGTTACACATCCCCTGATGAGTAAGAGCTGCAACAGTACAGGGACCAGAAAAGGAGCCAGAATTCCAGACAAAGATCTTTGGGGTAAATGGAATCAAAAAGTTAGGCCCAAAACAGGAGCAGTTATGTAGCTGGGATCTAAGCAGCAGGAGCATAAAACAAAGGTAACAAGTCTCTGCCATACACATTACTTCACTTAACCTTCAGAATATCCCTGATCATGCTACATTGTTCTTACTGCTAACTCCATTTCACAAGAAAAACAAATGATCTGAGGCTCAGAAGGTCTATTTAAGTTCTTCAAACTAGTAGATGATGAAGCCAAGATTTATATTCAAAGTCTGACTTAAAGCTATGCGTGCTCTTTTAGAGCTTTATTCTGGAAACAAGTTCTCGACAGCTTCTAAGGTGACTTAGCCAATACAACTGATAATACTGACAGAATTTTTTGAAAAAGACACAACTTCTGCCAGGTGTGAAGAAGGAATCTGCAGCAGTAGGAAGAGTGTGCACTATTAGGCTAGAGTGTGCACACTGGGTTGGCAGGCAGCAGATGGAGCACGGTAGCGGTCGGAGCCGATGCAGCGGTATGATGAGAAGAACGGGTGATGGACTGGATGGTGGGGGTGCGAGGTGGCAAGGAGGGGCTGGGCGAGATAACCAAGGCTAATGCTCCAATTTCCACCTTACCTGTCCATAGGTGATAAAGAGCATGAGAGGAATAAGGAGTTACTCTGTACTTGTAACTTTATGAAGTGTCTGTGGGACTTCCAACTGGAGAAATGTATAGACTTAGAGCTCATGAAAATTCTAACTTGGGAGTCACCAACATACACGTGGTAACAAAAGCCACAGGAATGGATAAAGAGAGGACTGGAGGTGGACACTAGCAAAACTAGTACTATCAGGGAACAGAAAAACACAAAAGGAACCTACACACAGACACCTGAGAACAAGGTTTCAGAAAGGATGGGGACATCAGGCAAGTGTGATGTCCAAAAAGCCAAGAGAAGGAAGGCACCATTAGTGCCACACACCACAGGGAGACCAAGCCAAGTGACGGCATGAGAACGTCCACACTGTTCCGGAGCAGCTTTGTTGGTGTGATGGCAGCCAGAAAATAGTAGGTGGCGTGAATAAGATGTAAAGGAACGTACATAGCAAATGTAGGCAACTCTTCTAAGAAGCTCAACTTGCAAAAGCACACTTCATGAGCAAAAAGTTGCTATAAAGGTTATTTGGGATTAACACAATTTTTGTTTCATTTTTTAAAGGACTAAAGAGGTTGGAATATATGTTAATGTTGCTGCTAAGTTGGACCAAGTGGAGAGAGTGGTTGAATTTATTTGCTATAGAAAGGATCCATGAAAAGGGAATTCCCTGCAGTAGTGTGACATGATAACAGAATCCAGAGCACAGATAGGGAGACAGTTCTTAACTACTTGGAAGCACATTTCTAAAGATCTTATTCCTGAACAAGTATACTCAGCCACACACAAGCCACCTACTAGATTATCTCCACTTGGATATTCTGAGGTATGTCTCAACCTTCAGTGTAACTCCCCAGAATGAGAAAAACATGAAAAGTGGATGCAGGGAAGTTTTCAGACACAGAGTCCATAATTTGAAGTTTTCCATCTTAATGTCTTCTTTTTTTCCTATGAAGTAGGAATTGAGGTCATATCATAAAAAGAGGCAAAGCAGATAGGTTGTAGGGGAGAAGAGAAAGTAAGGTTTGTATAGCTATTATTAAACCAGAAGTCCTTCTAGTCGGTATCAATACACATGTGAGATACATACATGACTGACATCCATAAGCTCACCTGTTGCACTGCCTTGAATTCCATTTGTAATTTTAGTGGAGCAAACAGACCCTGGATGTTTCTCAGTGTAGAAAAATTCATTTTGTCTTGGTTGAGTTGGAACTACAAAAGACAACAATGTAATTTTAAATGCTCCACTTAATGTTCTTTCAAAACAGCATTTATGCATATGACCATAATACTTAAGGGATTTCAGTATTTATAACTGAGATAAAAAGATTTTACCAACTTCTTCAATATATATTAGAATATATGTCTTTATTTTATCCAGCATGCAGATGTACTTCACCAGTGTTCAATTACCACCTAAAAAGTGGATTTACAAAACTAAGAAATGTCTTCCACATTACAAGTGTATTTACAAAGCACAATCACATTCTAGTGCTTCTGATTAGAATTACTGCAAAACTGATAGTGCAAAGGACAGATCCACAGTTGTACATAGTGACAAAAATTAATACTGACTTTCTAAGCACGAAAGTATGCATTTCAAAGGCCTGCATGAAAGAAATAATCAGACCCATTATACCACCCTGTTCATTAAATTACAATGTTTAAGCTCCTCTTTTTAGGGTAACTGATTCTGGGGCAGGGGGAGCCAAAACCCCGAAAGGTCCATCTAATTTGCATTGGGTACTAATAAGCCACTTTCTTCTGGAGTCATACTTTTACTAAGCACTGATAATTACTTTTTAAAAACTTACTGCAACTTAATGTCCTTTAGGCATAATCAATCAACTTGACTCATGGATTCTAAAACAGTTTCCCAAAACGGTTCCTAAGGACAGTGGATGATATGCAAACAGTCTACTCCAAAGATCTGTTTGACCTCAGGTAATTATAGTAAGGTAAAGTGACCTCTGTGATTATTTTTTAATTATACTACAATCTCTTGATAAGATTTTTTTAAGTTATTAAAAAAAGGTAATTTTGATCAGTATCTTTTCTGAGATTAGTGCTACTAGGGACCCAGGGGCCATATATATATATATATATATGGAAGTCTGAAGGTAAGACATCTAGCAATTTAATTTTATGTGGTTTAATATACTTGACATCAAAATTCTGACAGATGGTCCTTAGGGAAAATATGCAATATTTTATTACAGGTCTATGGTCTGAAGTTCCAATTGAAAGGTTCCCCTTAAACACTGAGTTATCCTCATGGTAAGTAAATATAATTTTATATAGAAAAATTCAATTTTATAGACTTTGATGAATGCACATATCTTATAATGTGATGTCAACTACAATTATCAATCAACATATATATACTTAATTATTATCAACCATATGAAAATTATAATTACATTCTGTGGTGACATATGACAGAACAGTAGAAACAGTCTACCCTGGAGAAGATTGTAAAATCTAGTTGGAAAGACATTACACACAGAACAGGGCTTCTGAACCCTTGGCAGTACTGTGGTGAGTGGGGACTGTTCTGCACACTACAGCACGTTGAGTGCCTCTTACCCAACAGCAGCCAATACCAAAGACCCTTCTCCCAAATACTACCTATGACAAACAGACATTTCCAAATATCTGGAGGGGTGAGGGGCACATTGGCAAAATCACCTGGAGCTGAGAACTACCGGTATAAATGCTAATGGTCATCTTCTATCACTATCACCACTGCACCTCCCAATCATGGAGAGCTATGATAAAGCCAGCATATGCCAAGGGATGGTCTCTTACTAATTCCATTTTACAGATGAGGAAACTAAGACTTACAGAGAGATTAAGCAACTTGCTCAAGTTTACTTAGCTAGTAAGTATGACACTACAAGTTTAAATCTATGTTCAATTACAGAACCCATGCCAGAAGACTTATGATAGGTAAGAACCACAGAATTTCAAGAGACTACCATTAACTGTTTAAGCGATTAAAGAAAACTATATAGAGGCAGTAGATGTAAGCAGAGTCTCAAAAGATCAATGAAATTTTTAGACTCATCACCATTTTGGCCAGTCTCACTCAAATTTGTTAAAGTTTCTCTTAACACGCATTGCCCAAATCTAAGTCAGACTAATTAACAGGAAAATGAGACTATTATTTCCCTTGATTTAAGCCCTATCTTATTACTAATGAAGTCCAAGATTTGCATTAACTGTTTTCAGGCTAATGTAATCTGTTGGCTTATACCGAACATACAATCTAAATTGTCAATTGTTTTTTATGTAACCAAGTCAAGTTTATCCACCTAAAGGTATGTGATTCATTTTCTGAACCTGAATGCAGAACTTCACATTCACCTCCATGTGTCTTTTTCAAGTTTCTGCCTAGTCTTTAGGTTCACTGTGTCATCTGTCATGTTATTCGCTTACTCATCAAAATAAGCTATCCTTATCAGCTTTTTTTTCCGTGAACCTGATTTACATGCTTTCTATGGTTAACAATAAGTCTGTAAAAAACACAACCTCCCCAAGTCACCTTCTGAGCATGAAACCAGAATGCACCTCAGCAACTTAGAAGCCCTTTTATTTTCTCATCTAATTTGAACTTCAATTTCATCATCACATAATTAATTCTACTCTTCCTTACAGAAAGCTCCTTTCCCCTTGGCTAAAAAGGAATAGGTCAGCTTTCAGTTAACTGGTTAACACAGCACCATCTTCCCCAAATAGTAAAGTAACTCTTGTTTTGGATGTATATTTAAAAACCTTTCTATGTTAGTCATTTGTAATACAGTTCATTTCTTAGTGTTTATATTCATTTTTGGATTCCCCCACCCTGCCCCTGACCCCACATGGTTTTTGGTTTTGTTTATTGCTTTATTATTGGAAATGAAATACATATTCGAAGTTGATAACAGTTTTCTCAAAATGACCATTCAGTAATACTCTGTATATTTTATTTTCTAATGTATTTTAAACATTACTCGAATAAAATACTACTTAAAAATAAAAAAATACCTTTCAGGTTGTCTTGAGGACATCTGCACAGGCTATTTCCCCCTTCGGGAGTGACCATCCCCTCTCTACAAAGCCTTACACAGGCTCTAAGCACACAAGGTTGCTCCATCTCTGGTCCTTTATGACATTTCATGAACCCCCATCCACTATTTGTCCTCCCACTAAATTTGTAGCCCCTAAAGCATGGGGATTATGTCATATTCATCTGTGTACCTACTGTGCATAGCGAGTAGATATGTCTCTCAGTTACTTAAGAGATGCAGGGCTTGACAAAGAGGTCAAGGCTAGAGATAGGGACTCAAAGATCAACAGCAAGAACAACAGGGGAAAAACAGAAAACAGGATCATCTAATGAGAAAGTATTATGAGAAGAATGGAGAAGGGGACCAACCTTTAGCAATGTCCATAAAAAAGAGAAAAATGTATACAAAGGGAATTTTGGTGAAGCAGTATAATGATAATTCAAAGCCTACTCTATAAGAATATTGAAAGTAAGGCCTCATAATTCTTGATGGTCAAATGCTCAATATCAGAATTGATTAATAAATAAAAACACAAAAGTATAACAATATTGACACAGGTAACATACTTACATTTTTTTCAGATAATTCAAGTGGATGACTGGGTAGAAGTTCATTTTTCACACAAGAGACACTGAAAATAAACATTTAAAACAGATTATACATTACTAAAGCTCAAAATCATATCAATGATGTAACTATAACAGAATAGCATGAGGGAGTTTTTCTGGGATGATGAAACTTGTTATCTCAACTGTGGTTATAGGAGTGTATTAGAATTCATGTAACTATACATCAAAAGGGAAAGTCAAATTTACTGTATGACAATTGTTTTAAAATGCATCTATTACAGAATTACAGATACTGGTGGTCACGACTTCAATTTACTCGAGAGAACATCTCCGAAAAATGTTGTTAAATGGCATCCCATATCTAGAAGAAATTTAATGAAGTGTGTTCATGACTATCACTCTGATGACACGCTTCTTGTATTATATAAAATACCTAAGCCTCTTCAGGGCTAATGCATGTTGAGTACTTAATTTATCTTTAATAAATACATGTTGAACAGTACGTTTAACATTCACTGAATACCTACTATGTACAAAGTACTTTGTTAGGTGATAAACAGCTAGAACCAGACCACTGGTCTTTATCACTCTAGATATATAAAGTTGACTATCTTATTGTCTAAAACATGATTTGTCCTTAGAAATCCTACAACAATAGTTTATTGAATATTGTTTTTGTAGAGATCATTATCCTAGAAATGGAATTTCAAAATGTTTCTGTTTATGGCAATCTTAACAGTCTAACCAGGAAGAAAAAGGAGCATTTTGTGTGAAAAAAATACATAACAAATCATCAGGACATGCTGACTAGCTTACAGATTTGATTATACAATTGACCCTTGAACAACACGGGGTGGGCCGACCTGGGCTGGGAGGGGCATACTTTGAAGGAACAAAGGTTTCCTGCCTCCATCCTCCGGGCTGGCCTACCCAGGCCTTGCTGGGCTCCTCTGTTCCTCTCAGATCCCAGTGTTTCTCTCTGGTCCAGACAGCAGTGGGTTAGTTCAGTTGGTTAGAGTGTAGTGCTAATAATGCCAAGCTCACAGGTTCCATCTCCACACAGGTCACTACGTATGTTTTTCCTTTTCCATTTCTATCCACCACATCACCCGTGGAATCTGGTGCCTTATATCCAACTACAGATACTGTATATTTACTGAAAAAAATTCACCTATAAGTGAACCCTTGCAGTTCAAAGCCATGTTGTTCAAGGGTCCACTGTACTATAAATCAAATTACATCTCCAATTCCAAAGGCTGTATGAATTGCATCTTTCACTACAAAGTGCAGACAATAATGAAGCATTACTTCTATCCCCAAACACTAGCATTTGAATGGCAGTCTTTTTATAGGAAGAACTAAATACTTAAAAATTAGATATAAAATTCAAAACACAAAATGTCCATGGATGGTGGAGGTGTGTGGATGCATGGATTATCCTTATTTGATTAAGAAGAAAAGCAACTTGCCAAGAAAAAGAAGTAGGCCAGAAATTGAGACCTGAACATTTAGAACCATAGAGAAAATTGAGGGAAGGGATATAATTGTGTGCTGAAGCTAGAAAAGAAAAACAGCAGCAGCTAACACACTGAGTGCTTACCAGTAATGTCAGGTACCATTCTAAGTATGTATTAAACTCATTTATTCCTCAAAATATAAACAGCCCCTCTCCCAGAGATGAGGACACTGAGACACAGAGCAATTAAGTAACCCACCCAAAGGCATACATCTAATAAACAGCACAGCCAGGATCAAAACCCAGGCAGCCTGAGCACAGAGTCCATGCTCTTAACTGCTATGTTATCTGTAAAAAAACATAATAATAATCTTTCCAAATCATGCTACTGGGTAACATTTCCTAGGAGGACGCTCTATCCTGGGAAATGACCACTTTGATTAGATGCTTCTACAGGAAACATCTAAGCCTCCGCTCCCCTCCTCCCCCAGTCTAAGTTATTATTAACTGCTATGTCCCAAGTTAAATATATATTTATGGCCTATCAAAATATTTAAAAATTGTAAAAAGTAATTCACAGGAACATTTTATTGTGACAGCCAAACTCTTAACTCCCCTGCATACCCTTTTCGAAGAAGATCATGACTTTCAAAAGGTCCACTTGCTGTAAGTTCAGTAACTGGAATACTGTCCTTTAGCTGAGATCCAAGTCCTCTGGCATTCTACAACACAAATAAAAAACTACTGAATACAAAAAATTCAAAAAAATTCACACTGGGTATCTATGCAAAAAATACTATATAAGCACTAGAAAGAAAAGATAAGTTCTCTGCCCTCAAAGAGCCCACTAAGTCTAGACAATTACAGTAACTCTTATCGTTATGGTAGAGGGATATACATGGTATAGTGAATACCAAATTTGGAGGTAGGAAGGTTTCCTGAGTTGATCTCTGAATGCTGTCAGATTGAGAGACACTCCAAAAAAAGAACAGAGCTAAAGGTATAAATGAACAACCTACAAGAAGTCTGAGATGACTGGCTATATGTCTGCGTAGGGTAGGAGTAAAGGCTGGCAAATGAAAACAGGAAGTCTTAAACATGAAAGAAATTTGTATTTTATTCCAAAATTGAGAGAGCCTCTTAAGAGTTATGACATGATCATATTTGCTTTAATTGGAAAGACGCTTCTCCTTAGGTTGGAATAATTAGCACAGAAAGAAAAAAGTTGAGAGCAGAATCCTCGGGAATAACATTCCTTAAGAACAAGGAAATGGGATCAGGAACAACAGAGGAGCTGGAAAAGAGTGGTCAGAGAAGCTAAGAAAGGAAATTTCATGAAGTGTTTGGTTTCCATAATAAGGTGCTACCTATGAAAAATAAATATATCTAATCAGGATAATGTAAAAAAAAACAAAAACTCTCAGTGCATTTGGTACTGGTACACCTACACCTTTACATTTATACTATAAAACATTTAATCACCAATATGTATCAAACATCTACTGTGTGGCAGGTACTCCACACATGCTAAAGATACATGTCTACCCACAGGCTTTAGCCTAATGAAAATAGAATGAACAAGCAAATAAAATGTAGTAAATATTAGAAGAGGTCAAACAGAAGACACTGATTTTAAGTCACTTTTTGCTCAAGTACAATGTCCCTGCAATTCTGCTGAAAAATGTAAAACAGCTACAGGTAGTTTGATATCTAGTCTTACACTATTCTACAAAAAACTATTTTGATTAATTATTTATTGTCAATTACTTATGTAATGTTTATTGTTATTATTAAATGTTTATGTAAAAATGTAACTGTTAACTGTTCAAACTAATTTAATAAAGAATCAACTTTTTAAATTGATTTCTTCATTCAGTTGTGTATTTTATTTGGCTAGGTACTTGACCCTACCCAGCATTTCTTCCATCTACCACCCCAGTCCAGACACTCACACCTGAGTCACTTTAATAGCACTCCACTGGGTCTTGCTGCCTCTGGACTCCTCCATTTTCCAATTCTGCATATAAAGATTTTCCTAAACATACACTCTCCCCCACCAAAGCTGCTAAAAAAACACTGTTCACTGATTCAATAATGCCTTAAGAATAAAGTCAAGTCCAAGGTCATTAGTCTGGAACTCAAGAACTTGCACAACAGGTTTCAACACCCATACACAGAAGTCTCATGGTTACTCCGAAAAAGATTCTGGACTATCACTATCTGGACTGTCACTAACCCCCTATGTGACTGTGATCAAGGCACACAACCCCTCTGGTCCTCTTTACTGTTCTTTTCAGGCACCTGAACTTTTTCCAAAACTAGAGTTGCATAACTGTACCTTTCCAAATGTATCTCCTGCTTTACTTACTCTACTTACTTTCTTATATTGAATATTCTCTTCCTCCCAGATTGCTCTATTATAAAGGAACATAAGAAAAGTTTCTTCTGAGCACAAGTAAAAGGAGAATTCTGATCTCTGGATTCTACTGTTACCATATTCCCAATTTCCTTTTGTAAAATATCGGGATTAGTACTTGATGCTTCTAATAAAATAGCAGGGGAAAACAAATCTATGGTAAGTTAATTATCACTAATTAAGACTGTTTATGAAACCTTTTTGCAATGATCAGCAGTATTTACCAACAGAGGCTTTCAGGATTTGGATGGCCTAGCAGCAGTATCAGAGTCAGGGGCAATGGCAATTGAGGAATCTTTCCCACATATCACCACTTTTAAATTAAAAAGAAAGAAAGAGAGAGGAGGGAGGGTGCGGAAGAGATGCACTAACAATACCGACAAACGGGGGTAACAAATGCCTGATTCCCCCCCACCACTCCCCAGTTTCTGGCACACTACAATCTCCCAAAGGGAAGGATGAAGCTGAGTGATAAAACCGCGACCTACAGCTGTGCATTAACCAAGGCAGTTCAGAGGGTCGGGGTGGGTGCGGACTCTGGGCTCCAAAAATTCTCCCCTCAAGGCAAGGACTCGGGCAGCGCCACACCAGCGAACTTGCTGTTTGGGATTTGTCCCTCCCAGCTCCGCGCCAACTACGGCGAAGCGGCCGACGCCTGCAGGGGTCTTGCGGACGAGGAGGGCACAGGAGGCGGAGGAAGATGCAGCCGAAACGCTGCTCGCAGGCTCAGCGCCGGAGCCCGGCCCCGGCGACAGCCACGAAACCCCCCGGCCCCGTGACTCGACAGATTATGGCGCCCGAGGCCGGCCTCAGCCTCCCGCCGCCGGCACCGCCTCCAGGGGCCTGGCTGCGAGGCTGCGAGCTGCTCCGCTAGGCCACAGTGCCGCGCACGTCGGGAACAAGGGGCCCCCGGGGGCTCACTCACCATCTTCAACTCGCTTTGCGAACAGCCTCTCAACCCGTTACCGTCAGAGGACCGCGCCGCTCACTTCCGTTTCCGGGGTTGCCCCCCCACATCCGCCGGAAGTGCGTCCGTCCGGGCGAGGAAGGAAGTAGGGCGCGGGGCACCGGGAGGGAGCCGCGCGGGGCCGAAGCTCCCACGCCTGAAGTCCCGAGGGACGCGGGGCCAAGGGCGCAGTAAGGGTGTGGGCTGGGAGGAGGGCGGGGTCGGGACGAGACGTGCCGAAGGGGAGGGAAGACGCGGAGGCCGCTTTATTAGTAATAAACATCTATCGGTCCTACCTTGGAAGATGTGCAATGGGCTTTAGTAAATCCATCGCCTTATTTAATACAAAACTTCTTTGAAGTAGATATATTTTTCGTAAGGGTAAACTGAGACATGGGTGGGATACGTGATTTGCCTGCAACGCAAAAGTGGAACACAAGGCTTTTGTCAGTTGATTTTTATTTTTTAAAATCGTATGTGGAAGGCCTGCTACGGTCAGGACCCCGTGCTGGGGCTAAGAATACAGAAATGAACCAAGCTGTTGTAGTTCTTGGGCTAGAGAAGCAGATGAACTGTTAGGGGTGGGGAGGGTGCCAACTGATTAAGTAAGTATGATAAATAAATATGCCCAAGGAGGACCGTGATCCTACTGTATTGCCTTCCAAATGTAATGTAATGAACTCATGCTCTGTCGTCATATAATGGAGATAACTTAAGGAATCCTTGGGCTCATAGCTCAAGGGTAAGTCAGAACTAGTTTGAGGAAGATGAGTATGTGATGTGAAAGAACATAATGATAGATTTGCAAGACGAGGTGGGAAAGAAGGCCTGTGTGTCTAAGGTGCAGAGGGTAAGGTAGAGAGTAGTGTGAGATGAGGCTGTAGATAGCTGGAGGCAAGTTCATTATGGAGGCCCTTGTGTGCCTTTATTTAAAAGTCACTGAAGGCTTTTAAGGAGGGAGGTGATACGGTTGTGTAAATTATATATATCCACTGCCATGATCCTACAACCTTGAAGTTACGAGATAATCCAGATTTTGAGTATTCTACCACTTACGCTTCCTCCTCTGGCTCTTCAGACTGCCCACGTTTCCCTTGAAATTTGAGCTTGAGTGTTTCATATGCATCTTTTTTCCTTTCACTCAGTTGCACCGAAGGAGAAATTTTGAGAGTACAAATCTTTTTTAGAAAAATCATTTTAATGTTTGTTCATTGCCTACAGTTCACTCATTGAGCATTTGCATGGTAGTAGATTCTGGAGCTAAAGAGAAGAAAAAGCCATTTCTCTGTACTTGAAATGCTTGCATTTTTTCTGGGAGAATGGACATGTAAACAGATGTTTAAACATGTGGTAAATGCTTACTAGAGAAAGGAGATGGATCGGGAAGTGTGGGCATGGGAAAACAATTGTGGAAGAGAAGGAACTGGAAAGACAGGGACTTGCAAAACATGTTGTAATCTGAACAATGAAGAATATGTTCTTGTGGTTGGAGTGCTGGGTGAGTAGGCGGAGGAATGTGAGAAGAGATTGGAGGGATGTGTTTGGGATTAAATGAAGGGCCCTTATACAGTGTGCTGAGGGTTTAGACCTGTAGGAAACGAGATGATAGAGGTCCTCTCACAAGCACTTGACATTTAAAATAAAAGTTCTGGAGGCAGTATGAGGGATATACTGGAATTGGGAGAGGTGAGGAACCAGGATACCATTTAGAACTGCAACAGTCCAAGGCAGAGATGATAAAGGCATGAATTAAGGCAGGACAGGGTATTGGCAAGACTTTGAGAAGCAGTGAAAAGTAGGGATGAACTTAAGAAAAAATAATGTTGGAAGAAACAGCCAGAGGAAGCATGGAGTCTGTCAGGGAGACAAAAAAGAAAAATGGTCAGATAGGCAAAAGGAAAACCAAATCAAAGTGCTATTTGAGAATTGAAGCAAGGGTTGAGAGATTGAAAAGTAGTTCAGAAGAGAGGTTGGGAAGTCATTCTCAAGTGGCTTTTAAATGATCTTGAAATCGCGAACATGGGCCTTTGGTGACCAATGGGAAAGCAATTTCAGTGGTGCAGCAAGGAGAAAAATCGCCTTACCTTGAGTAGTACACACTCATATTTTTATCCTTTTAAAATACAGCTTTAACTAAATACAAGGTAGTGTTGACGACACTATAAAGTAGCCTAAAAATTAGGTTTGATACCGAAATAGTTTAATATGTTTATCTAAGCTCCGTGGTTTGTAATTTGAAGAGTAGAAAGTAATAATAGTTAACATCTGCTATGTGTCAGGTCCTGTTCTTAGTTCTTTACGATGTTGTTAATCCTCAATTACTCTGAGGTAGTCACTGCTCGTCACTGCTCTTATCCACATTCTACATTAGAAACAGGCTTGTTAACATGCACCGAATGAGAACAAGTACCCTGTTTACTTTTTGTTGTCTTTCTTGACCTTACTCTTAACCGTATCGGGCACAAATATTTATTGAATTTATTGAATGCACCTGTTGAACACAGAAGGAATTCCCCATCTAGAGTGCAGGCGGGTAATGAAATTATCAGCAGTTGAATGAATACAGCCAGGCAAAAGCTAAGGTTGGTTATTAGGAAATACAAAAGCTTGCTGAGTTGAAAAATTCCCATAGCTTCAGTTGAATCCCCATCCCTCCAAGAGTAGAGAAAGAGTGGTATAAAGCACATGCATGCACTTCAAAGAAAATATTGTTGACTAGTTATGTTAATGATCAAGCAGTAATAGTGGGGAGTAAGAGGTTGTGTTGACATTTTTCTTGCCCTGTGATTCAGGGTAAGTGGAAGAAAGCTCACTGGACAAGCTTTTGGAGAAAGTGGCATCAGTTATGAGAAAACTGGATTTCACTTAGGGCTAAAATGTGGGAAGAGAATATGTGGCAGTAAAAAATACTGGGAAGTCTAGTCACAATAGACTAAGAAAATTTAATTTCATGTTCCAAGGGACATAATGGCAGGGGTTGTGAACGGAAGACAAGTGAGAAGCAGGTTCAGGGGCTGAGGAGATAATGCGGTAAAGAGATCAAAGTCCTCTGCGTTCTTCCCCGATAACAACCTGTACACACTTTACCATAACTTTTAACACTTGGTTGCATTGACCGACTTACACATCTATCTGTTTCTTTCCCACAAGTTCCTGCAGTCACGGGCTATACTGTACACATTATTGTGTCCACCTGGCATGTGGAAAGCACCCAATTAATGTTTACTGAATGAAAAGTGTGGCAAATAATAGATGAATGGATACTTGCACCTAGTAGGCAAGACTGACTAGTATGGTTGGGAAATAGGAGGTAGATACGGGCGATCCAGGGTAACTTATTTGGTGATGTTTCCAGAAGTACCCTCCTGGGCCTGGAACCCAATCCTAAAGCTCAGCACTATAAGCCAAGGCCCTAAATCCTTGTCTGGTTCCAATTATCCCCTTTCTTCCAGGGCTAGACTCAACAAAATCTGGCGTCCCACCAAAAAGTCTACAGTTTTGACATCCACCAACATCAAGAGCCACAGATGTGTGTGTGTGTGTGTGATGAGCACAGCCTTCCCCACCCACTTCCAGCTACAAATTCTGGCCAGACCCACGTGGTCTTTTTTTCCGCCCTGTATCAGGACAGTCCTCAGCCAGATGGATTCTCTTGAGCTTTGAAAGCAGAATGTGGGAATTTGGAGATGGTCTGTCGACAAGGGTTGGTGGCTATGGTTTTCCCTCAGAGTTTAGTATCAAAAAAGCATGAGAGCTCCATTGTCTGAGTGAGATGGAAGGGAAAAATAATTAGTGTAAAATGTTTGTAAAACATTCTCTCCAAAGTACCTAATAATTAGAATGTTATGTGGCAATGTAAGGTTCAGAAATTGTGCTCCCCTATAAGATTGCAGGAGGTAGTCCATGTGAAGAGCTTGTACAAATCTCAACTAATAAGAAGGCCACTGTTTCAGGAGACCTGCAAAAAATCTATAAATTATAAATCATACATCCAACTCTTCTTTAAATGATCTAAATTCTTGTGTTGGGAAAGGTTCAATGTGCTTAATTTAATATAAATCTTATTTACACATCTTGGCAAGTCCATAAGCATTAAAGGGTGGAAAAATACTTCACATCAAGTTTATTTGACAAACTGTTTTCTTTAACCCTGAGATGAGTGTTTCATATTTCTTCTGAAATCTTTTGCTGACTATGATTTCAGATGAAGCTGCTTTTAAAAGAGTGTCCTCTGATTATGAAAAGCTGGGTTTCAGGAGTAAGTACTTAAGTGGAATCTTTCGAATCCAGGTGTTTTGTTTTACTGTTTTACATCTGCATTGCATCAGACACAGCAGAGGTTAGCATTGCGTTTTCCATGCTTTCATAGCCCTATTTCAGGCGTGTGTTTTTAAAAAGTGGTTTCTATTTTCAGCATAGAAAGTCTTTATTCATCTGCATGTGGTGCATACAGTTTCTAGATTATATGCAACAAATTTTAAATTCTAGACCTGTTTCTTTTCCACTTCATTTGCCAACTAGCATGTAGGAGCATAGAGTCATTTTAATATTGTCTAAAGAAAAATTCAATTCAGAAGTATCTGGCAAAAACATTGTCCAGTGTCTTGCAGAGCCTAATACAATGTATATGTATGCCTGATGTTTTCGATTGAGGTGCTGTATTTAAATACTAGCATCAGTATTCTCCTCCACTGGGCATGAATGACCTGGGAAAGGTTTTGGATTTATGAAAATTCAAAGATGTTGCCCTGAAGACAAGACTGGAGGAGAGAGAATTTGCCTCTATTCAAAGCACACTAGGTTGCCTCTGAAGCAGGTCAAATTAATCTGCTTCAGAATGAGAAAGCTAATTCAAAGACAGCCTAAGTCATTCTGGTTGTATATTGGCCTACTGGACATTTTTTGTGTTTCCTTCTAAAAGCAATGGGTGCTCATTATAGAAAATCAGTAAATATCAACAGGCAAAAAGAAGGGATTCGAGGGCAGAGATAGCTACTCTGAATGTGTTGACTCACAGGCATTCTATGTGATGGAATTTATCTATTTATCTTTAAAAAGACAGATTGACTGCATTTTCTAAGTGAGCTGGGAAGGGTCCTCTAAGCTTTTTTCATGTCCATGTTATTAT